TAAGTGTTTTGAGACTGGATCTCTCTCTACACAGTCCTTGCTGTCCTGGAACTAACTCTGTAGACCAGGCTGACCTCAACCTCACAGAGATCCTTCTGCTTCTGCCTCCCAGTGCTGAGATTAAAACTGTACACCACCATGACTGGCTCATGCACATTTTTTTTTTTTAAAGTCACAATCTAAAATCATTGTGTACACTTCCCTTATTGTCCCCATTCTTTCCAAATCCAGTAGAAAAGTAAAAAGCCATACCTACTCTCAGCATCCATCTTTTCCATGTTATTTGTAAGTGCAGCCGAAAGTTTCATCCTAAAAAAAAGAAAACATTAAATAACAAAAAAGAAAATGGCATCTAAGAATAACAAGATTGATTTCCCTTCAAATAGCATGTTTTAAAAACAGTATAGGAAATATTTTAAAAGTATTTTTATTATCATTTATTTACCTATACAGGTATATGCTTGTACACGAGGACAGACAGGTGTCAGATCACCTAGAATTGGAGTTACAGGCAGTTGTAAGCTACCAGATATGTGTGTTGGGAACTGAATGCAGGTCCTCCACAAGAATGGCATGAGCTCTTAACCACTGAGCCATCACTCCCACCCCAGGGAATATTCTAAATAAAAGAAGTAAATCATAGAAAAAAAGGAAGCAGACAGGCGGTGCCGAGCGGTGGTGATGCACGCCTTTAGTCCCAGCACTAGGGAGGCAGAGACAGGTGGATCTCTGTGAGTTCGAGGCCAGCCTGGTCTACAAGATTGAGTTCCAGGACAGGCTCCAAAGCCACAGAGAAACCCTGTCTCCAAAAACAAAAAATAAAAAAAAACAACAACAACAAAAAAAGAAAGCAGCCAAGGGGGGCTGGAGAGAGATGGCTCAGTGGTTAAGAGCACTGACTGTTCTTCCAGAGGACCGGAGTTCAATTCCCAGCAACCACATGGTGGGTGGCTCACAACCATCTGTAATGAGATCTGGTGCCCTCTTCTGGTGTGCAGATATACATGGAAGCAGAATGTTGTATACATAATAAATAAAATCCCCCCCCAAAAGATTTGGAGAAAGAAAGAAAGAAAGAAAGAAAGAAAGAAAGAAAGAAAGAAAGCAGCCAAGGGAAAAGGTTGTGGCCCGTTGCCATACTCAGGCTGAGAGGACTGGTATCTGTCCTCAGCCATTAACCTTGGTGCAGAGCCAGGGAAGCAGCTAGGCCTTATGGACATTGGCATAGGCCTGCCGAGGAGATGCAGGGGTATGGTCCCATGTAGCCTAGACTAGCCTCAAACTCTTTTTTAGCTGAGGATGACCTTGAATTTCTGATCCTTATACCTGGAATTTTTTTTAAGATTTATTTATTAATTATGGATATAGAACTCTGCATCTATTATGCCTACACACCAGAAGAGGGCATCAGATCTCCTTAGAGATGGCTGTGAGACACCATGTGGGTGCTGGGACTTGAACTCAGGACCTTTGGAAGAACAGTCAGTGCTCTTAACCTCTGAGCCATCTTTCCAGCCCCCCATACCTGGAACTTCTTACATCCTTGAACTTTTATCTCCTTGCACATGTGTACATGCACCCTCATGCCAGCTTGACTGCGAACGTTACAGCATACTGCTTTAAGCTGGCAGAATGAGCATGTGCAAGGCCCTGGGCTCCATCTCCACCAATGAACACATGAGGCACAGTAGACATAGGGGATATATGCCTATAGGCCCTACCATTCAGGAGTCTGAGGCAGGCGGACCTAGAGAGGGAGGGAGAATAAGTCTGTAGATAAGTGGGCAGTTAAGTCTGTACTGGCAGCAGAGTTATTTCTTCCTTTCCTCTCTATATAACTAGTTAAACTAGCTTTAATTACTATTTTCATTTATTTCTCTGTATGTAATCCACATGCCATGGCACAGGTGGAGGTCAGGAAACAACCTGTGGGAGTTGGTTCTCTTTTTCCACCATGTTAGTTCTGGGAACCAAAGTCAGGCCGTCAGACTCATCAGCAAGCTCCTTTCCCTGTCAAACCATCTCACCAGACTGCTTTTTAAATAAATGTAAAAATTTAAACTTAGAACTGAAAGTGATCTGGGAAGGTCAAAACAAAGTAGTCATTATAAGAGTCATTCACTTTTGATGACTAAATCATAAGCCTATAAATGGTCATGTTTGTCTATTAATATATTATTATCATCCAGGCAAACCTGGCCCTGTCCCCTTGGGGACCTGGCAGAGTCACCCCCTGGCTCTGTATGCAGATGCAAAGGTCCCTTTAAGAGACAAGCTCTGCCCACTCCTGATCTCTTTTTCTGAGGAGGCAGGTCTCTTTGTCTCCTCTCTCTCCCCTCTCTCCTTTTTCCCCCTTACTCCCTTCCCTTCCCCCAATAAACTTTCTACATCTGCCTGGCATGTTTGTCCCATCATGGGATCTGCCAAGGTCCCCCTTGTGCTGCACATCATAACGAATATGCATCATCATGTGGACACATTCTAACACATGTACCATTTGCAGTTTGATCTTGGTAAGAATATAATAGGACAAAAAAAGAGAGAGAATATAATAGAAGGCACACAAAGTGAGGTGGCCATAGAGTCACAGATAGAATTTTATGGCATTGTATCATATATGCAATAATCTCATTGACAGACAAGTACTGCACAGTGCATGCATAGTAGTTAGCACAGAGCTTATGGTATTGTATTTATATTCAAACACCTGCCCAAATACACCTAAAAATAACAATGTAGAGCTAGACATGATTGATATGCCTATAATCCCAGAACTTGGCAGGAGAAAGAAGGTTTATGAATTCCAGGCCCAGGCACTTATCTCTAAACACAACACAAAACAGTACAGACATAACAAAAATGAAAAATTAAATGCAAAACTAGTAATTCAAACGTATTTTAACTTTATGATAAGGGAACTGGCCCTCTCCAGTCATGCCAGAACTTGGACAGCTGAAGCACGAGGGAGGACTGTATAAATTTTAGGTCAATCTGAAGTATATATCCAATTTCTAGGCCAGCCTGGGCTATAGAGGGAGACCCTGTCTCAAAACAACTTTGTGACAATTCTATGTATTAACAGTTATTGAAATTAATGGATTTGTGTAACACTTTTCAACACTAACATATTTGAAACTCTACGTTAACTTCATAAAGACCCATTATCACCCGTATCCTACATACCTTTTCCAAAGGAAGATACTAATGAATAATATAACTTCAGGGTTCGAAGCTTCTATAACATTACCTAAGCATCTCTTTTGTTCCTCCCTCTTTTCTTTCTGTGCCCTTCCTTTTTTTTGGAATTAGGTTCTCATTATTTAGGCATGGCTGTCCTGGAACTTGCTATGTAGACCAGGCTGATCCTAAACTCAAAAAGATCCACCTGCTTCTGCATTCAGAGTGCTGGGATTAAAGATATGTAATACCAACCATTTTCAGTTTCTCCTCCCACTCCACCTTCCATTTGAAGATAGTGTTTCCCTATATAGCCAAGGTTGGCTTTGAACTCATGGCCTTGCAGCGGCAGCCTCTTGAGTGCTGGGATAACAGGCTTCTAATCATCATTTAATTCAGCTTAGTTAAAAACAAACAAACAAACAAAAACAACCCAACCTTCTTTCAGTTTTTTTTGCATTTAGTTCACAATTCTTAGTAGTATTAAGGTAAGAGTTACCTGTTTAGTGCAAGAGTTTTCATTTCAAAATCACTTTTTACATCTTCAATTTCATTTTCCAGGTCTTCAATTTTACTATTAAAGAAACATGAACCAAAGAATTTCAGCAATGTCAGTCAAAGTTGTTCCTGAAATGTATATGAAGTGAATCTTGGAAAAAAGGTTAAACACTTCTATTTCAATAGAAGAAAACTAAGGCTCACCACACAGGAGCCTATCTACACAGCTGGTGAGCTGATGGCTGAGTTTCTTCACTAAGCTACATCATCGAGACAGTGTGGGGAAATGCCAGACAGAAGAGAAGCAACCATCCCCTAGCACCTCTGCAAATCAACAACCCCCCAACATAGGCGTGAGGTATGTATTTGGAATCATAAAGGAAAAGACAGACAGCATTGTAACATGGATCATAGGATCAAATCTTAGTAAAAGTCACAGATAAAATATTAAAATATGACTTACACTTCAATTTGTTTTTCTTGCATGATCTGTTCAGGAGTTTTTTCTTCATCTACAAGTAAAAAGATTTTTAAGTCAGTAGTAATTTTATTTAAATGAATATTTAATGTGTGTGTATATCAGGGAACACATGTGACAGTCAGAGAACAAGTTGTCAGTCAGTTCTCTCATCATATGGGTTGGTTCTAGGCATGGAACTCGGGTGTCAAGCTTATCGGCAAGCACCTCAACAGGCTGAGCCATCTTGCTGCAAACCCCCGCCCCCCGCCCCCCCATTTCATAATTATCTTGTATGTTTGTTTACCTGTTTTGCTACACAGAATGAACATATATAACTTGTTTTGCTCTTGAGACAGGGTCTCACGGTGTAGCTCAGGCTAGCCTGGAACTCAATATGCAATCAGGCTGGCTTCAAACTTAGAGATCCAACTCTCTCTACCTCTTAAGTGCTGGAATTAAAGGCATGATTCACCATGCCTGAGAAAAACAACTTTTTTAATAATTTATTTTTATTTAAATTAGAAACAAACTGCTTCACATATCAATCCCAGCTCCCTCCTCCCTCCTCCCCGCCCCCCCCCCCCCATCTTCCCTCTGCTACCCAGGGAGGGTGAAGCCCTAAATGGGGGATGCCCAAAGTCTGTCATATCATTAAAAGACAATTTTTTGTAAAGCTGATTTTCCTTCCCAGGAATACCATTCATCTGGGGGTTGGAGATGGCTCAGTGTTTAAAAGCCCTGGCTGAGCTTGTAGAGGATCTGGATTCAATTCCCACCACCCAGATGGTGGCTCACCACCTCTGCAGCTCTGGTTCCAGGGGACCCATTGCCCTCTTTGGCTTTATGGGAACATACAGCAGGCAAAACACATGCACATACAATAAAAATAAATAAATAATTATTAAAACAAATAGCATTCATCAGCAAAGTCACAAAACTTACTTGAAAATGAAAATACTTACTTGCATCAATCATGGACTTGTATTCTAAGAGTTGCTGTTTTGTCTGTGCTCTCAGCCTGCAAATTAAAAATGAGGACAGATAGGAAAGGATTTATGGATGGTGGTTACAGTCATTATGCAATAAGTGAAATCTGACATTGATTGAGTCTTCTCATTTAGCCTCATTTTGTTTAAAACAGTTCACAAAAGGGAGTCATAAAAAGGAATACAGTGGGAAAAGAGCATCTTGGAGAAAAAGTTAAAAATGTAATTCTTATATGAAAACTGCTATAGGTAGGTAACCAAAACTTATGACACCTCCAAACTCTATTAGTGTTACCATATAGACTTGTAATATTTCCAGGAGGGGCTGAAAGATGGCTCAGTCATTAGGTTGGTACTGCTCTGATTAAAAGGACATGAGTTTGGTTCCCAGCACTGACACCAGCTACTCGAAAATTACCTGTAACTCCAGCTCCAGGAGGAGTTTGCTGCCTCTGACCTCCAAGGGCATTCATTTGCATATGCATACATCCCTAACAAAATAATAAAATAAAAAGAAAACTTTTCTTCAAGACAGGTATCTGTGTATAGCCCTAGCTGTCCTGGAACTCACTCTGTAAACCAGGCTGGCCTCGAACTCAGAGATCAGCCTGCCTCTGCCTCCCAAATGCTAGGATTAAAGTCATCTTTAATCGACACTACCACCTACTTCCAAAATACATCTTAAAAAAAAAAAATGGTCGGGTGATGGTGGTGCATGCATTTAATCCCAGTACTCAGGAGGCAGAGGCAGGCTGATCTCTGTGAGTTCAAGGCCAGCCTGGTCTCCAGAGCGAGTGCCAGGATAGGCTCCAAAGCTACACAGAGAAACCATCTTGTAAAAACAAACAAACAAAACAAAAAAACAGAAAAATAAATAAAATAAGAAAATGAAAATCTTGGCCAGGCAGTGGTGGCTCATGCCTTTAATCCCAGCACTCGGGAGGCAGAGGCAGAGGATCTCTGTGAGTTCGAGACCAGCCTGATCTACAAGAGCTAGTTCCAGGACAGCTTCCAAAGCTACCGAGAAACCCTGTCTCGAAAAACAAAAACAAACAAAAAAATGAAAATCTTAAAAAAAGCATTTTCAGTAAATATAAAAAATAACTTGTGGGGGGAGGAGGAGAGGGAGAGGGAGCTGGGATTGACATGTGAAGCAAGCTTTGACTAATTAAAAAAATAACTTGTGGAGAGATAAGCAATTAATATTTAGTAGGTTTGTTAAAAATTCTATTATTCCTAATTCAAAATCAAACATAAAATAAGTAGAAAAAAGCCGAGAATGGAAGCAAATGCTTCTAGTGCCAGTTACGTAGTCCTGAGTATTGGTCTTTAGAAACCCATATCAACAGTTAAGAAACATCTGACAGATTATGAAAGCTTATACTACAGCAAGTGACAAAATTCCAAATGAAAACAACAATTTCATACCAGGTACCAGGCTAGTCATCCCGGTGACCTGGAAGGCTGAGGGAGGAGGACAGAGTCATCACAGGCCTGCCAGGACTTCAGAGCAAGTTCAAAACCAGTTTTGGCAACTTATCAAATTCAATCTCAAAAAAAGGGCTGTTGATGTAGCTCAGACTTAGAGTGCTTGCCCAATATGCTTCAGGCCCTAGGTTCAGTCACTACTACTGCCAAAAAACCCCACATCTGACAAAGTTATTACAGATTAAAGTAGAAGTGTTAAGTATAGAGCACTCAAAATTTTTCTCAGCTAAATGGTTGTCATGTTTATAGACAGGCAGACAATGTGTTGCAGGATATTTGATCACTTTGAACCCCCGAGATCAAGTTATGGTGTGGGTCAGTCCTAGCACACATCTTTGATCCAAGAGCTTTCTGCTTGACTATTATAAATAGGACTAAATAAAGTCAACTATAGGTCAAGAGGCAGAGTAAGCAACCAGTTGACAGAAAGTGAACATAGGAAAAATGATAGAGTAAGAGGTACACAGGAAGACGGACAGAGAGACACATAGGAAGAGAAGGGAGGGACATTCCAATAGTGTAGGAGATAGTGGAGGACCTCTGCTAAGGAGGAAGGCCAGCTGGGTGCTTTCTCTGCCTCTCTGAGCATCTGGCTCCCAAGTCTTTACTGGTAAAATTGAACGATTGAGATTTTCTTAAAAACAACAGATAAGCCTCTGTATGGCTGGGCATGGTGGCTAATGCCTATAATTCTAGCACCCTGAAGGCAGAGGCAGGGGTATTACTACAAATTCAAGAGTAGCTTAGTATCCATAGTTAATTATAGCCTGCCAGTGCTACACAGCAAGACCTTGTCTCAAGCATTCAAACAAGTCTGTTATGACTTTAGGCACTTTTTTTTTTTTCTGTAAAGAAACAGATAGCAACTAATTTAGGACTTGGGAGTCATACAGTCTGTTTTAACTACTTATCTTTGACCCTGTAGCAGAAAACTGTATCCCAATAAAACTTTATGGGCATTAACATTTGAATTTCATGTATTAGGAAATATTTTTGGCAGCCATCCTTATTTAAACATAGAAGAACTATGCTGAAGCCCAGTGGTACAACTTGCTCCGTATACGTCGCCTTTAATCCCAGCACTCGGGAGGCAGAGGCAGACAGATCTCTGTGAGTTACCGGCCAGCCTGGTCTCCAGAGCGAGTGCCAGGATAGGCTCCAAAGCCACAGAGAAACCCTGTCTCGAAAAAACAAAACAAACAAAAAAGAAAAACCAAAAGAAAAAAAAAAGGGGGGGGGTGAGTGGGAGGGTTGGGCTTCCCCGCTTTCTGTAGCTTGGCTTGGATGTACTGCTCCCGGATGAGCCAGCCGGGATCACAGTGGCAAGCTAGGACAGCAGGATAGGTTCGAAGCCTAGCTAAGGACAGGGTACTGTGCTAAACATTTCCTCAGAATGTCCCACTATCCTTTGCTGCCCCCTTCTCCACTGACGATCTTAAAGCGGTTAAACTAATAGTGCAGTCAGGCTCGGAGCCCTAAGAGTCAGCCAGTGAGTCTGAATTTGAACCCTCGGCCTCCAGAGCAAGGGCGGGATGCCGGGTGGGATACCTGAGCAGCAGGCGGATGCGATCCTCGATGCTTTCCCCCGCAGCCTGCGGCTCACCCCGCACCTCTCCGCAGCCCTCAGCCCCGGCCGCAAGCTTCTCCCCCGGCTGCTCCATTGCAGACGCCATAGATTTGATTTCTACCGGAACAGCCGAGCATTTATTCCCGCCACGAAATTGACACCCGGAAGTACACATTTTATCCCGCCCCTTCCTCCCTAAAGCCCCACCTTCTGCCTCTCGCTGCGTCGGGTTGCCGTGGTTACTGCGCTGCGTTCTTTTCTCTGGTTTCCCTGAAGAAATAGATTGTTCCCCTGAATTCTCACCAACACAAGCGACTGATTCGAAGCCTTTGGGTATGGGTATATGGAGATGTGGCTCAGTGGCAGAGCGCTTACCTAGCCAGTATAATGCCCTGGAATCGACCCAGCACCGAGCCAGGGGCAATAATCCGAGAATAATTTAACTCTGAGTGGCCCGGAGAAGGGGACCGTGAGCTCTGGCCTAAACAGATGTCAATAGCCGTCCTTCCCGGGTGCTGTTATTGTCCTTCCGGCTACTACACTTCTCGTCTGGGTTTGGAGGATGGGTATGCCCTGCAGAGTGTGATATTTGAACCATGTGCTTGTAAGTGGCTGCAGAGGCCAGGAAGCATCAGATTCCCTCCATTACTGGAGTTACAGTTGTGAGCACTTGATGTAGGTGCAGAATCATCTCTTCAGTTTCCGCTCTCTAATTTTTTTGAGACTGGGTCTCACGCAGCGCAAAACTGGTCTTAAACTCCCAATCCTCCAGCATGAGAATGACGTGGCTCTTGCAGTATTATACTGAAAGGTTTCTCTTACAGTGCTGGGAACAAGCCTAGGGTCACTCAGGTATTGAACTTTATCCTATTAGGTCTTTGTTCATCGGCCCCAAGGTCCTTATCTCCTGTTTAGTGGAGGAACAAATGCCTCAAGTACGACAACGCAGAACTGGCATATGCCCCCCAGAGTTTATCACGGCTACACCCACGATCTTTCAATTCCTTGCACAGGTGCTCCATTCCACTAATGAGTAGAAAAAGAGGGGAGGAAGCCTGCAATCCCAGAACTCGGGGAGGTTGATTCGACGAGCTCAAGGTCAGCCTGGGATACACAGTAAGTACTCAGAATACATGGCAAGATCCTGCTTGCAGTTTACGGGGTATACTTGGGATTGGAAATCATTGAGAATTAGGTATCTGGCAGGTTACAATTGAGCCTGAAGTCGAGGAATGGAGAAAATGCTGGACCTGTACAAATGATTTGTAAGTTTTTTATGGTCACTTAAGGTATACTGCCTTGCTCAACAAGCACAGCAGCTCTTTGAAGGGCTGCCATGTTCCCTCATAGCCACTCCCCAAGTTGATCACACCATGCTTGTCCTGTTATGAAAGTACTATGGTTCCCGTTTAAAGTTCACAGCAGGTAGATCTGTGATTGAGGCCAGGCCGGTCTACAAAAAGTGAATTCCAACCAAGGCTACAGAGAAACCCTGGGGGGTGGGGTCCTAGAATAAAATAAAACTCTGATGCCAGGACACAAAGTTGGGTCAGAAGGGAAGGGAGTGGGTCTGGAAGATTTGGGGGTGGGGAGAGACAAATAGGATCAAAACCTCCTTACCAAACTCAAAAATTCAGAGATGGTTAAGTGTAGCTCAAGTTGTTAAAAGCATGTTTGAGGCCTGAGTTAGATCCTCACCACCACCTTCATATCAGTAGTATAGCAGGCATAGTGAAACATACAATTCCAGTATTTAAGAGAGGCAGGCCAGCTGGAGACAGCTGTTACAAGTACTGCATTCCTATCCCTCTACCCACAGAAAACCACAAACTATCAAAATTCAGAACAAGTGATCTTGTAGTTCCCCACCCCAACTCATCCATCAACCCCTGATCTTAAGACTCAAGGAACACTAAAGAGGAGGGGGAATATTGCTAAGAGCCAGAGGAACAGGAGGACTGAGATTGTCTCCTTGAAATGTTAGGGAAGTTACATCCATGAAGTCTCAACAATATGGCTGCCTAAACAAGTCTTCAACAAGGATGCCAACACTAACACAAAAGGGGAAGTCATGGGGCCTCAACCTAGACAACTACAGGCAACTAAGGAATGCTGAAAAAGTCTTTCCTAATAAGTTCTCTACCACCTGCCTCTGTCTCCCGAGAGCTGGGATTAAAGGCATGCACCACCATTGTCCAGAGCAGATTATATTTATACACATACAAATATACAATGAAGCCAGAGGCCACGAATTTGAGAATGTAAGGGGAGGGTTACGTGGGAGAGGTTGAGGAAAGGTAAAGGGAAATTATGTAATTATGTTCTAATTTTAAAAAGATAGTAAAATATTTTTTCACTACTATTGTGCAGACATAATCTCAAAGTTCATGTGGCAAATGTCTGATAATGCCAAGTACTTGACAACAGTCAAGCTGTATCTGGCCCCAAACTCCTAAAACTCAATATAAAACAATCTGTTATTACAGGGGAAAAATTGTTTAGATCAGAGGCCAATAAATGTGCACTCAAGATGTTATCAGTGACACAACTGGACGTTCATCTGGAAAACTCTTCCATCATATCACTTAAAGTTTATTGAAGGAATATATACCTAAAGAGAAAGCATTTTAGAAAAGTGAATTTTGAGACAGGGTCTGGCCTTAAATCACAAAGGTCTGCTTGTTTCTGCCTCCCTTGGTATTGAATTAGTGTGCACACTTCCTAGTTGGTTGACCTTAAGACTGAAAATTATCGACACGTTTCTTTACAGAAAAACACCAAAGCCGTGCGTTGGTGGCACACGCCTTTAATCCCAGTACTCGGGAGGCGGATCTCTGAGTTTGAGGCCAGCCTGGTCTCCAGAGTGAGTGCCAGGATAGGCTCCAAAGCTACAGAGAAACCCTGTCTCGAAAAACCAAAACCAAAAAACAAAACAAAACAAAAAAAACCACTAAACAGTCAAAATGAGAAATTGGGGAAGCTTTCCATTAATAAATTTTATTCAACTTGACATCAGATGTATAAATTAAAACAAACAGAGACAGGATTTTTGCCAGTTAAGTGTCATAAGACAGTGGAAAGATAGAGGAAATGGCACCTTGGTATAGTGCCAACAACACAAAGTCTCATCTGGCTTCATCAGAATTTAAAGCATATACCCCCTGGGAAAGCTACTATGCATACAGCCAAGCAAGGCATAAAACAACATTTTAGCAGTATTGTGTTTAGAGGCAATGAGAGAATGCAATTTGAATGTATTGTAAAGGATCACTGAATACATTACATACAGTATGAAATGTACACTTAGGAAATGCAATATAGGCATTAAAAGGAATATTGTTGAAAAAAATGAGTCCATATCTCCTTGACAACATATGCATGATTACATTTATATAGGACATTGAGATTAAGGGGCAAATTCTTTTTATACCTTTAATTTTAAACATGCTATTTCCCAAGCCAATTAACAAATAAATAATTACACAAGAAAACTGGGGTTCAGATCTGAAAGTCCATAGCTCAAGACACAGTGAAGGACAGCAACCACCTGAAGAAATAGAAAAGGGAACTAAGGACAAGCTGGTAAATTGACAGTTTAAACAAGAGCTAGGCAGAGGGCTTTGCAGGATGACTTAAAAGATATGACCAGGACACATTAAAGAAGGAAGTACATAAACATATAGGCTACAATTACGTACATTACTTGGATTCTCTGTTAAACTAAAAGCAGTTTCAAAAATAATCCTAAATGTTTTAGACAACCCTTGTTATCCTAGAGTCAGAACAACCAACATTCAAATGAGGTAAGCTATGAAAAGTAAAACAGCCTTTATTGAAGAGCAAGTAAACACTGTATACTATGTACAGGTGGCACATGGTGCCAATTGCATTTGCCGATGTAGTGTAGTGGTCCACTTGAGTTATGCCTTTGACACAGCCTTGGACAAATTCTGAACTAGTGTACAATTCAGCTGTGCCAGAGTGCTGATCTTAGCATGCTTGGATGTTGCATACTTGTTCTTGATAGTCTGTAAGAGAAAAGCACTATAATCAGGGAAAACAAAAACCATCCCACTGGGGTGTGTACATGGAGGGATTAGAGGGAGAAAAGAGATTGGAACAATGTATTACATTTAACTTCAAAGATGAACATAAAACCAAACCTCTCCAAGCCAACCTCTAGCTGGCTTCTCCCTGTCTCCAGAGTGCTGGGATTAAAGGTCTTAAACCAGCTGTGAAGTTTCAATGAACTTACCATGTGCTTTGTAAGGCCACGGTTCACCATGACTACATTCTTAGCCAGGTGCTGCATGACAGGCAGAAGGGATTCTTCAGTATAGGACAGGTAGTGCTGCAGGGTCGGTGTCTAAGACAACAACAAAAGCATGTTAAAACACCAGCCACTTCCAGAAAACTGTTCTAGATGCTATTCAAGAGTCTAGCAGGTAGATAGTGAACGGTAAACACAACTGAAATTTAAATAAATCATCTCTTTGCTCAGGTGTGCTCCTCCGAGAGCCTGTGCTTCAATTTAACCATAGCATTATAGATGCTGGCTTTTCTACCCCAAGGTCAGGACAGCATCTGGTACATGAAGAATGCGTATGGGTCTTAGACCACTTGGTGTAGCTTTCATGTGTGAAAGGATTAACAGACAGACTCCAAAAGGGTGTTATCAGAAAGATGAAAAACCTGAAGAATGGAAGCATTCTAAGTCGGATGGCACCACATTTTCACCACCATTCATTTACTCCTATTGAGGAAGCAGAAGGGCCACAAGGGCAAAAATGGTGCATTCAAAGGCTGTTTACAATTGGTTTGGAGACTGCTTACCCATTCACCGTTGTCAAGAATTTTCAGTGCTAAGCAAAAAGCTCCAGCTGCAATCTGAGAAGGAGCAAAGTGCACCATGTCATAGTCCAACATAGTGAGCTCCATGAGGTATTTGGCCAAAGTATGCTGTTCAACGTCAACCTGAAACAGATCCACATACATACCACTGAGCGTCTTTTGCAGTTTTGCTTTTGCGCTAACTTACAAAGCCCGATCTGTGACTACAAACTCTCAAATACAATGGTCCACAGAAGGCTTTAAGAGTAACCATATAATATCCAACCTGATTAGAAATAATAACAGCCATATCCTTCTCCCATGTACTTATATATCTACCGTATTCTCTAATATAGCAAAATAAAAATTTCAAGTAATGTGTACCTCTCCAATCTTAGAGGCTCTACGGAGGAAGTGCAGAGGCAGAGGGCGACCCAAACTGAAGTTTAGAACTCTTAGAATCTTCATTTCCATCTGTCTGATTTGGTGCTTAGTGTAAGTATTATTAGTCACAAAAGCGAAGTCACCTATTTCTGGAGGGTACATTTCTTCATATTTGCTTGCAATAAACATGGCAGTCACACCAACTAGCTGCAGCATCTTCTTGGGTACACAGTTATCCTGCAATTGAAATGTCAATGAACATGTACTTGAACATCTCAACTGGTGGCACCTTATCTCCCTGTAAAGACAGATACCTGCCTACCATGTAATGGGACCCTGGGTTTGACTGTCAGTGTCCACTCCCCCCTCCTCCAAGAGTCTTCTAGAACCCGGGAATGAAGAACTCTCATTACTTAATTACACATACCTGCATGAACCGGTCAATAATGGAAACAGTCATGTACATAGTCTCTTGCAGCAGCCTAAATTTCATTTGAACCTGTATCAGCCAGTCAATTAGGATGGCTCTCATGTTTCCAGTGACTTCACGGCCCAGTAGATATCTTGGTCTAACTGATTGTTCTTCCTGCAAAAGAAAAATGTCATTTATCCTGGAAGCATCACTCTATACGCCATTTGTGACCACAAAGACCAATTAACTAATATAAAACAGCTCCATGGCAAAGCTTTATTAAGAAAGCAAGGATTAAAATAGCATGACAGGCTTTTCATATTAAGATATTGTGACATTCAATTAACCAGTGGAAAGCAGGCCCACACTTACACCTGTCATAATCTCAGATCAATATCGATTTTACTAATTTCACTTTGTGATATAGAAAAAATTAATCACTAAGTTATATATCAGCTAGAATTTAGCTGATCTTCCAGAGGTCCTGAGTTCAATTCCCAGCATGCTAGCTCAACCATCTATAATGAGATCTAGTGCCCTCTTCTGGCCTGCGGGCATACATGCAGGCAGAACACTATGTATATGTACAAATATAAAAAAGAGAGAATAAGGAATTAAGAACAACTATGTTTAACTACCAAATTCAGTTCTGCAGTTAGGATACAACAAAAAAAACCTTTTAGTATTGACAAGAATTACAAAGTAGACAGCAAGCTTGGACAGATAATCCTATTGAGGACTACTTTAGGAAATATAAATTACGTCAAAAGGAATGGCAGCAAAATGGTTGACTCTTAAGTCAATCCCACCCATTTAAAGGTGGAAGGAAAACCAATTCTTGAAAGTTGTCCTCTGAGCCCCCCATATGCACCCTGTCACAAAGGATAAGAGACTGAGTAAATGAGTGGTAACTGAAGCAGACAGCGCGCTGGAGATATAGTTCAGTGGTAAAGCACCTCTTAGCATGCACAAAGTGCTGTATTTTGTTCCTAGGATTGGAGGTGGCAAATCTGATAAAACTACATTAAAGAACTGTCTTGTTTAAAGAGGTGAAAGCGTTAATGTCCTTAATATCCAACTGGGCTAAGTTGACAAAACCAACCACTTCAATTTTTTGAGTGTGCTCCTTTTGGGCACAAGTAATAGTTTTCCTGCCAAGCACAAGCACACTGACCAAAAAAAAAAAAAAAATCAGAAAAAAACCTTGTGTTGGGACAGCTATAAGTTCTTTAGCATCTTTATCTACCTCCTCCTCCAACCACAAGTTTGGGACTTTCCCCATGTGTGATGTGTGTGTCTACTTTAGGAAGAGTCATAATAGTATCTCCCCAACACAGAAATTCTGTATTCAACGTGACAAATCCACCCCACGGAGTTAGTGACTTTATTTCCATTTCAAAACAGAATTTCAAGTGTTATCTATTGTCAAGAAATGTCAAATGTGCTGTTGATAAAAATCTTTAATTGCTGAGTTAGTGGTGCACAACTTTTTGAGACCAGCCTGGTCTACAGTCAGTTCCAGGACAGTCAGGGGTACACAGGGAAGCCTGGACTCATAAAAACCAAAAGAAAAACAGTTCCTTAATAAACCTAGCTGAATTCAGTAAAATCGTATTGTAACAACAATACTGACCTCCAGCTGTCTGAGATAAGCATATATGTCTTTCACATATTCACTACAGAGGTTTGGATCAGCGCCATCATCTGCATCCACATCGCTCACGGCAAGAATTACATCAGAGAAAGCCTGACACAGGTATTCTTCTGCAGGGGCACATCCAGATGTTTCCATTGGGCTTGGAGAGGGATTATCAACCTTAAAAAAGAGAGACCCCATCAAACAAAGAGAAGCACATGCTACAGTCCAGGAAGGAAGGTCAGTATTGGTATCCTCAATTTAAGAAATCATTCTGAATAAATTAATTTCATTAAAGGAAAAGCATTTCAAATTTTCTTTTTTCTCAAATTTCCTTTTGGGAAATGATTAGTATTCAAAGTAAATGCTGGGCTGGAGAGATGGCTTGCTTAGCTGTAAAAAACACTTGTTTTTGCCAAGGGCTAGAGTCTAATTTCTATGCAGGAACCAGGTAACTCAAAATTCTTGCTCCAGGTTATGATGCCCTCTTCTGCCCTCCTTGGGCATTGCACTTAAGTGCAAACCCCTGCCCTACATATGAAAAATAAATCTTTAATTTAAAAAAAAAAAGAAAAAGAAAATTTCAGAGCCAGGCATGATGATACATGCAGTTAATCCTAGTACTTCTCTGTGAATTGAAGCCAGCCTGGTCTCCACAGCAAACTGCAAAGCCAGCCAGGCAGGAATAGTGAGATCTGGATTCATAAAAAGTTAAATCCAAATTTAGACTAAGCCAGTTTAAAATAGGAAGAACTGGACAAGAAGGGTAAAGGTACCAAGCCCCACAACCCATGTGGTGGAAAAACTGACTCAAAAGGTTGTCTTCTGACCTCTACAAGTATGCACTCACATACAAAATACAATGTGGTTTTTAAGGAGCCCTTTCTACTCCAAGGTAAGACCAGAACTCAGATCCTAGCACCCACCTTGGGTGGATGGGTGCGAAAGCACACCCATGTAAAAGAAAGTCAAAAGGAAAAACAGATAGGTAATAAAGCTATTCATCAGCACCAGGTGGAATTAATTCAAACCACGATAAAGCTTTATTCAGGTGAATACAAGCTCTTCCTTAATTACAAAGATGTTAGAGAAAGTGACATAAAGTAAACTGATAAGAACTGTGTGCTACATATACCGGGCAGTGATGGTGCACACCTTTAATGCCAGCATTCGGGAGGCAGAGGCAGGTGGATCTCTGTGAATTCAAGGCCAGTCTGGTCTACAGAGTGCCAGGATAGGTTTCAAAGCTACAGACAAACCCTGTCTCAAAAAACAAGAAAACCAAAACCAAATCAAACCAAAGAGCTGTGTGCTATGTAGCTCAGGCTGGCCTTGAACTTTCAATCCTCCTGCTTTAGCAAAAGTGCTAGAATTGTACCATCACACCTACGAGTAAAATTTGGTGAGGGTGTGTGTCTGTGTTCAAGAACTGAATATGCACTAACAGACAGAGAGCTACAATCCCAGCCAAAACTCCACCCCCCCCCTTTTGAAACAGGGTCTCACTATCTATAGGTCTGGCTGACCCTTGTTATGTAGACCAGGCTCGCCTTGAACTCAGAGACTCACCTGCTTCTACTCCAGACTGCAGGGATTAGAGGTGGCACCACAACACACCCTATTTAACTCATCTAATTTTCTGCCTGAAAAAACTTTATTCTTGTAACAGGTTTATTAATTTAGTGGCCATATTAGGGAGTAGAAGATTCACAAACACATCTGTGTTTCATTCAATTAATTCCGGACAGAGTTGAAATTACAGAACAACAAAAACCTTTAGTTCAGGATGCTACACACATAAGAAAGCAATGAAAAGATCTGGCCTGGTTGCACCATCCCAGCACTGGAGAGGTGGGGGCAGAAGAATGTCAAATCAAGGGTACCAGGGCTACAGTGACAGAGAAAAATGATGAATGATGATGTCCACCTTTGGTCCCAGACCAAACCTCTGAGTTCCAGGCCAGCCAGGAGTACAGTCAGTCTACACAAAACAAAATCCCACATTTATCCTCTGCCATCTGAATTACAGCTAATACCTACTCCAGAGTGTGTAAATAAAAAAGCTTTGCTGAGCATTCAATACTCAAACGCTACCAGTGTGTAGAGGTCAGAGAAGAAGACTTTTTCATATGCTATGTTTACCAAGATAGGTTCAGGAGAAAGCTTTTCCTCCATAACAGGTTCAGGTTCAGGTTCAGGCTCAGCAAGTTCCACCTCTGGCTCACTCACAGGAACCTTCTCCTGAGGTTTTGGTGGTGGGATTTTAGCTGAAACTTTTCCAGTAACTGAGGTTTTTAGTTCCTGTGGAGGGAATGAAGAAAATAGAATGTTTTCCCAAGGGTGACAGCTGGAAGACGGGCTGGTTCAGGATAGCTGAGCCAAGAAGATAGTTACCTTTTTCAGAGGCACTCTTGCCTGTGCCTGTTCGCTGACTTTGTTACCAATATCCCCTAGAGCGGTTCTCGGTCTCAGCCCGGGCTTGGAGGCTGCAGCAATCGCCACAGGCACACGCTTGGCGCCTGTCATGCTGACCTTGGCCTTATTTTCTGTGTTAAGTTTCGTGTTCTGAAAAAAAAGTTAAGACCACTTGAGAGAGGATCTATGGCGGCTCCAGGAAGTCATGGGTTAATTAAGGCGCGACCCAACTGAGGCTCCCTGAAGTAAAGCCAGAGTTTCAGGGTCTAGCCTGGGGACGTGCCACGCAGAGTTTCCACCCAGATTTTCCACATTCATCTATATTCAAATTCCTCTTATGCCCTAAGCCATCCTAAAGACCGCGAATTTACATCGGAAAGGAAACCACGAAAGCCGGAGTTGTGGACATCTCTCTGCGAAGGCGCGGGGCTCACTCTGGGGGCTCCATCACTCAAGTACACCCTTCACTCCTCCCAGTCCTTCAGCCCGGATAGACCCAGTTGGTCGTCCGCTTCCCCACCTCGTCCGGGGCACTCCGGGACCCCACCCCCACCCCCGCATGGCCGTAGCGGTCTTCTCCCGCGGCGACGACAGCAGCTCCCGTCCGGCTCACCCTAGTGACTCTGAGCGCCATGGCTCCTCCTGAAGAAGAGGCTCGGCGACCAGCAGCAAAATCCCTGGCCTCTCGCGGGCCACGGCCAGACACCAACAGCCGTTCCTCCGCAGCACGCCGGGAGGAGTCTGCCGGGCCTGGGTTTAAACCCCGGGCCGCTCCCTCCTCATTGGTCCGTTCATGGCACTCGCTCTCTTCCCATTGGCGCTGCGAGTTCTCGCAGAATGCGTTTCCTGGGCGATCCCGCGACCACGTTCGGCGGGGGCGGGGCCAGAGCGAGGCTGCGGCCCCCGAAGCACCGCCCATCGGGAGCTCGGGCTCCGCGCCTGCGCACTCGCTGCTGTGCAGCCACCTGCTTTAGGTAGGCATGGAATGCACTGCCCACTAGTGTGCCATCCTGGTTAGCCTGGGAGATTGCTTTGGGCCTTAGGGAAAGACTGTGGAGCCGTCACGGTTCAGGAGCACGCACAACAGTTTGGCTGCCCCTCTACTCACTGTTCCTCATCCTCCTCTTCTACAGAAGTGCAGATGCTATCTTAGAATTCCTGAAAGGTTTTGAGACAGAGATGGTCCTTTATTTAATGTGATTTTTTTTTTTTTCCAGTCGGGCGTTGGTGGCGCACGCCTTTGATCCCAGTGCTCCGGAGGCAGAGGCAGACATATCTCTGTGAGTTCAAGGCCACCCTGGCCTACAGAGCGAGTTCCAAGACAGGCTCCAAAGCTACACAGATAAACCCTGTCTCACAACTCTTCGGCTTGCAGTTCTCCATCCTTCTACCTCAGACTCTTTATTAAGGCTTATTAATTTTAGTGATTTTTCCCACATTTATCACTAATAAATCTTATTTATTTTTGACCAGGATCTTAAGCACAGCTTGAGCTGGAACTGCATATATAGCTGAGAATGACCTTAAATCTCCTATTCTCCTCCCTCCACCTCCTCAGTGTGGGACACTAGGTGTACACCACAGCACTGGGTTTATATGACACTGGGGATTGAACCCAGGCTTCAAGCATGCTGGGCAAACACTACCAGTGCAGCTGTATCTCTAGCCCTCTAGTAATCATTGCTATGCAAATTATTATAGTTAGTAAGCAAATACTATATCTTACCATAGTCTTATCATAGCTCACACTGGCCTGGAAGACTATCTTAGACTGGCCTTGGAGTTTATAGTGGTCCTCCTACCTTAACTTCCTGAATGCTGGGATTAAGGGAATGTGCCATCACACCTGGCTAGGACTTTACTTTTAAGAGTAGTTTTAGGCTTTTAGCAGAACTTCACGGAAGTCCAGCATTTTACTGCCCAGCCTCCTCTAGTATTGGCATAGCACGACAGTGAGGTGTGTGTGGTGAATCATACCAGTAATCCTAACACTTACGAGGCTGAGGCAGGATTGCCACGAGTTCAAAGCCAATCTGAGCTATACTGTGAGTTCCAGGTCAGCCTGGCTTTGGAATGAGACCTTGTCTCAACAAAACAATCACCTGCTCCTAACCAGGACATCTATATCAATGCTGTCAGGGCTCAGGGAATATTGTGGGAGAGACAGTAGAAAGAAAGCAAGATTTGGGAGATAGGAAGGAGTTATGTAACAGCAGGGAAGTTGTTTAAACGGGAAGAGAAAACAAACAAACAAAAGCTCAAAATAGCTTCAGGAACTCCTGAAACTGACAAATTCCCTAGGTCCCCTTCTTGCCACAGTAAAGTTGGCAAGCTACAAAGAAGGCTCTCAGACTGGAAAAGCTTCAGTGAACACCCAGACCAGACCAGCTGCCTGGAAGATCCAATACCAGCTAAGCTTCCTGGTAGAGGTTTAGACCAACAGATACTTGGAAGGGACGGACATTCTCCAGCCTGTTGAGCTGCCTTCAGGCTGTGCTCAGTGTGTTCCAGGGTTCCCATCATTTGTGAACGGTTACCTGACCCAGCGTGGGCCTTGATGATGCAGCCGTCTTTGAGTCATTTCTGCTCCTGTAAGTAACTCCAATATAACTCATTGGTTCACCAAGGTGGACTTTGGTGGTAACCGTACTTTGGTCTGTCATGACCTTCCTATCTGGGTGAGTAGATGTGTGTTTTGTCTCCCCAGAAAAAGTTTTGTGACACAACAGCCATTGTAGGAAAAAATGACTCTCAAGAACTCACTATTGCACTCGTGAATTGACAGCAGCTATGGTTACCTGCGCAAAACCAGCAGCAGATTGGTCCACTGCGAGTCTGAGATAGGATGAACTGTAGGTTGGCCTGAGCAATGTAGTGAGATGAGGGGGGAGGTGCCTTCAGCTACACCCTGAACTTAGTGTTTAAGTTCAAGAGCTATTATAAGGCCCTTCCTCAAAGAAAAAATAAAAGAGAAGAAAATGAAAGAAAAGATCAAGGAATCTTTGATGTAGGCAATGGGCCTACACAGTAAGCTCATTTGAAAAAAAAAAAACTCCCACTTGAAAGCCAGGTGGCAGTGGTACACATCTTTAATCCCAGCCCTCGGGAGGCAAAGGCAGGAGGATCTCTGTGAGTCCAGGCCAGCCTGGTCTACAGAGCAATTTACAGGACAGGCACCAAAGCTTCAGAGAAACCTTATCTTCAACAAAAACAAACCCTAAAACATCCTGTTTGTTTTAGTTTTTATTCTTTGACAATTTCATTCATATATAGAAATCGTAGTAAATTTCAGCCCCCATTACTCTCCCTCATCCCTAGCCCTCCTCCATTAAAACACTTCTTTCTCCCAAGCAGTTCCCCTGTTTCCTTCCTTCCTTCCTTCCTTCCTTTTCTTCCTTCCTTTCCTTTTTTTTTTTTTTTTTTTTTTTGAGACAGGGTTTCTCTGTGTAGCCCTGGCTGTCCTGGAACTCACTCTGTGGACCAATCTGGCCTCAAACTCAGAGACCCGTCTGCCTCTGCCACCGCCTCCCAAGTCCTTGGATTAAAGGTGTGCGCCTCCACAGGCCAAATGCATGGTCAAATCCCAGTGGCTAGAACCTTAAAGATAAAGGGGTTCTTCCCCTTCCCACCCCCATCAGAACCATACAGTGAGAAGCTACACTTCAGCATACTATCACATTTTTCCCCCCTGAGACAAGGTTTCTCTGTGTGTGTAGTCCTGGCTGTCCTGGAACTTACTCTGTAGACCAGACTGGCTTTGAACTCACTGAGACCCACCCGCCTTCACTTCCTGTGTGCTGGGAGTAAAGGCGAGCATCACCAGCACCCAGCTGCCCTATCAGTTTTTTTTTTCTTGTAGTACAATATTTATAATAGAAACTGGCTGAAAAAACCACATGCTAACAGATAATATGATACACAAGTAGGGTGGGAACAGACAGGAAAGGGCAGAGGCCATAGGCCTACACCAAGAACCTTTCAATGGACTGCTGAATGGACTGGATCTGGACTTCAGCTGAGAGCCTTCTTTGATAACAGAACAGGTGATGACAGGTCTGGATAGGTCTGGATACCCCAAAGGCCTGTCCTAGGGCCTGCTTGGAGCACACAAATACATAGAGGACATTCTTTACTTCACACAGCAGTGGGAGGTGCAGGATGATCGCCAAGGGCTCAGTGTGGGCATCCATCACAATGAACTCAGAGATGCCCCTGTTGAGGGTTTTGGTGGCTTAATTTCTTTTTCCTAGATAGGCTTTCTCTGTGTAGCTTTGGAAGCTGTCCTGACACTTGCTCTGTAGACCAGGCTGGCCTCGAACTCACAGAGATCCGCCTGCCTCTGCCTCCCATGTGCTGGGATTAAAGGCGTGCACCACCAACGCCCGGTTCTTATCACAGTTTTTAAGGGCTCTCTCTAAGACTTCTTGTCTAGACTGTTTCTTGTGGGTGGGTGAAGAGGAGAGGTTGTCACAGAAGACTTCTATGTCTCTCATTCTCAACTGTGAGTCAGCAGTCATCACACCATTGCAGAAGAAGCTTCCTTGCTTATAACAGCCAGTGGCAGCATGGACCGTGGACATCTGTGTGTGACCTCCAGAGGCAGCACAGACCACAGATGCCTACAGCTACATCTATGAAGGCATTTTCTCAATTGAGGTTCCCTCCTTCCTAGTGACTCTACCTTGTATTAAGTTGACATAAAACTGCCCAGCACGCCAACCATGGTTCTAGCCAGCAGTGTGGTGTGGAGGTACAGAACATAGGAGAATCAGGAGTGGTTAGGAATATCAGGCCGGTGTCTTCTTTCTAGCTCTGAGGCTTCCCATGCTTTCCAGGTAAAGACAGACAAGATGGAAAGGCTCATTTAAACCAAAACTAGGCTCTAAGCCTTGGCCCCAAAGATGGTTCAGCTATTCTCTGCTGTCAAAGTAATTGCCAACTGCCTTTGGGATTATTTGGTCCCTAGGAGGTGAACAAAGTCATACAAGACAGGCTTTCAGACTAGGGACCATCCAGCAAGAAAAGGAAATTCTTCACTCAGCTCTGCTAATTTTTTTTGTTGTTGTTGTTTTGTTTCTTTGAGACAAGATTTCTCTGTGTAGCCCGGACTGTCCTAGAACTCACTCTGTTGACCAGGTTGGCCTTAAACTCAGAGATCTGCTTGCCTCTGCCTCCTGCATGCTGGGATCAAAGGTGTGAGCTATCACCCCCAGTTCATGCTAACCCTTAATAACACTTAAAGGAACAGTCCTTTGGAGACTGTTGTGTTTGCCAGGACATGCATGGCTTTGGGACTGACCTGACCTGATGGGGTCACAGAAATGAATAAACAACAGAAACATGTTCAGAAAAGCTGGGGTCTGGTGGGATGCAGCTCTTTGGGTGATGCACACCTGCAGCAGCCAGAACACTCAGCAGGTTTATTACATGCACCAGGATAAGGAGGCAGGTTAGCTAATCTTGGTGGGGGTCCCTGTAGGCTGCAGTCCTGCTGGGAGGGTAGCAGCACGTGGCACTCTACACTCTCAGAACCGATTGCCCAGACCAGGCAGAAAGCCTTGCCATTTCAGAGTCCTATCCAAGTAAGACTAAGGCTGCCACTAAAGACTAGGGTAAGGGCAGCCCCGGAGGCTTTCAGGGTCACCTCTTTATATAACCCAGGAGATTGAGTCTTTCGTAAAATCCTTCCACAGGCCAAAATGACACTGGATACTGTCTCGATCAGACCTTATCAAATCCACTCGGTCAAGATGCACGCTGTCATCATGGG